TCTACTCCCCAAGCCCGGCCCGAGGCCAGGCTTGACTTGTGAGAGTTTGGTCCACCAGGCTGTTGCTTGGAGCGGCCCGCAGGCCCACATATACCTGGTTGATGGGGTTCTGGGAGTTCTTCTACTCCCCAAGCCCGGCCCGAGGCCAGGCTTGACTTGTGAGAGTTTGGTCCACCAGGCTGTTGCTTGGAGCGGCCCGCAGGCCCACATATACCTGCTTGATGGGGTTCTGGGAGTTCTTCTACTCCCCAAGCCCGGCCCGAGGCCAGGCTTGACTTGTGAGAGTTTGGTCCACCAGGCTGTTGCTTGGAGCGGCCCGCAGGCCCACATATACCTGCTTGATGGGGTTCTGGGAGTTCTTCTACTCCCCAAGCCCGGAGAGTACAAACTTTTTAGTAACTTTCCTTTCAAGTACCGTCCCTCGATACGTTAAAATTGCTACGTGTTAGTCAAACTTAAACCACTGTAAATATTGGCGCTTCTTTTGCATCTGCCTCGACAGATTTTGAGGGAAAAAAGTTATTTTTGTTTATGGAGAGGCAGAGGAGGATTGTAGGTAGACTCATCCTTCTGGCCCCTCCTTGCACTTCACTCCATGAGGATGGAGGAGTCTTGTCCTTCAGCGTCGAGGATGAGGTTACCAACAGCCTCTCCGTCTACAAGGGAGTACTCAAGGAATGGTTATTGCTTTACACGGCTGTGTCTATCACCTTGACTATCTCACCTCCTACTCCAGTAACGACTCGACACCCTCATCCCTTCCTCTCTCTCATCCTCCAGTTACACCTCGAAACCTGCCTCCTTGCCCCCTCACCCTCGACGACCTCCCCCTTAGACTGCTGTGGCCAAGCGTGGCCCTACTCAGTATGCAGGCCAGCAGGACGGAAGTAATTATCTTGAGGTTATCTTGAGATGATTAGTGTCCCCGCGGCCCGGTCCTCGACCAGGCTTCCACCCCCAGGAAGCAGCCCGTGACAGCTGACTAACACCCAGGTACCTATTTTACTACTAGGTAACAGGGGGATAGGGTGAAAGAAACTCTGACCATTGTTTCTCGCCGGCGCCTGGGATCGAACCCGGGACAACAGGATCACAAGTCCCGCGTGCTGTCCGCTCGGCCGACCGGCTCCCTAGATTTATAGTAAGCAATAATATATCAAGATAATTTCGAGAGACGGCCATCTTGTGCTGTTCTCTGAACCCGCACAAGATGCTGCTTCTCGCCATTCCTTTCCCTCCGTCCCATCCCAAATCCTTATCCTGACCCCCTTCCCAGTGCTATATAGTCGTAATGGCTTGGCGCTTTCCCCCTGATAATTCTCTCTCTCTTCTTCCTGCGTCTACTCTTTGTATCTATGACCTCTACTACACCCGCCCTCTACTCTCGGCTCCACCCTAGAGAGCACTAGTGTCTTGGAAAAGTACCATCATTGGTACAGCCTCCCAGAACTTGTGATCCTGTGGTCCCGGGTGCGATCCCAGGCGCCGGCGAGAAACAATGGGCAGAGTTTCTTTCACCCTATGCCCCTGATACCTAGCAGTATTTAGGTACCTGGGTGTTAGTCAGCTGTCACGGGCTGCTTCCTCGGGGGTGGAGGCCTGGTCGAGGACCGGGCCGCGGGGACACTAAAAAGCCCCGAAATCATCTCAAGATAAACAAGATAAGATCTTGCACCATCTTGCAAAGGATGATACAGTACCCCTGTACCGTATCATCCTTGTATGTGTCTAATGTACCTGCTTTTACCTGTACCGTCATACTTACTGTACCTGTACCTTCATTAACCGCGGAAGAAGGGTGTAGGCGAGTCTGTAACTCCTGCGTAATGTCATGAATGCGTAAGTAACGAGTAATTACGCATATCCAAACGAATGCGCATAAAACGCCCTCCACGCTCAACACTCTTCCAGGAAGGGCCAAGAAAAAACCATTTAGATACGATCAAAATTGCTGTACATCTTGAGGTTATCTTGAGATGAGAGCAAGCATCTTGAGGTTATCTTGAGATGAGAGCAAGAATCTTGAGGTTATCTTGAGATGAGAGCAAGCATCTTGAGGTTATCTTGAGATGAGAGCAAGCATCTTGAGGTTATCTTGAGATGAGAGCAAGCATCTTGAGGTTATCTTGAGATGAGAGCAAGCATCTTGAGGTTATCTTGAGATGAGAGCAAGCATCTTGAGGTTATCTTGAGATGAGAGCAAGCATCTTGAGGTTATCTTGAGATGAGAGCAAGCATCTTGAGGTTATCTTGAGATGAGAGCAAGCATCTTGAGGTTATCTTGAGATGAGAGCAAGCATCTTGAGGTTATCTTGAGATGAGAGCAAGCATCTTGAGGTTATCTTGAGATGAGAGCAAGCATCTTGAGGTTATCTTGAGATGAGAGCAAGCATCTTGAGGTTATCTTGAGATGAGAGCAAGCATCTTGAGGTTATCTTGAGATGAGAGCAAGTATCTTGAGGTAATCTTGAGATGAGAGCAAGCATCTTGAGGTTATCTTGAGATGAGGTTATCTTGTAGATGAGAGCAATTTAGTGGAGCTTTTCAAGCAGATAATCTTCCCTTCGTTTTCATTGGCCGCCTTAAGGCGATGGTCAGAGGGCCAGTGCCACTGACTGGAAGCAGGGGGTCAGGGGAGAGCAGTGCCAATGACTGGAAGCAGGGGGTCAGGGGAGAGCAGTGCCAATGACTGGAAGTAGGGGGTCAGGGGAGAGCAGTGCCACTGACTGGAAGTAGGGGGTCAGGGGAGAGCAGTGCCACTGACTGGAAGTAGGGGGTCAGGGGAGAGCAGTGCCAATGACTGGAAGCAGGGGGTCAGGGGAGAGCAGTGCCAATGACTGGAAGTAGGGGGTCAGGGGAGAGCAGTGCCACTGACTGGAAGCAGGGGGGTCAGGGGAGAGCAGTGCCACTGACTGGAAGTAGGGGGGAGCAGTGCCAGAAGACCCGTCCCACAACACAGACAACTGACCAATGGAGCAAGTTTCAGACCAGAGCCTCTGAGATTCTTAAAATTACTGACAATGCCTCAATGCCCTGAACAATGTACTCACAAATGTGTACAGCGTCAAGCCATTACGACTATATAGCACTGGGAAGGGGTCAGGATTTGGGATGGGACAGGGGAAAGGAATGGTGCCCAACCACTTATGGACGGTCGACAGGGGATTGAACGCCGACCTGCATGAAGCGAGACCGTCGCTCTACCGTCCAGCCCAAGTGGTCGACATGCCCTGGGATGTCATCCCATAGTGGAGGATACTTGTATCCAGGAATACCTTAAGATATGTATCATTATGAGTGATGAATACGTTGAGTGGTAGTGATGATGTTGCTCTTGCTCTCTCCTCTCATACCAAGTTCTGATGAGCTTGTTGATGTTGATGACTCTTCAGAGAGCGTGTTGATGGTCCAGTTGACTCATCAACTGTTCCATACACCCGAGGCCCCGTATAGGAGAGACTACACACGAAATATACTGAGAGAAATCATTGATAGTTTCATCTTTGATGAAATCTTCAGGAGGTACAGAGTAAAACATGTCTGACTGGCTAGCTATATGGCTGACTGGCTGGCTGCTTGACTGGCTGGTTGACTGGCTGGCTGGCTGGCTGGCTGGCTGGCTGGCTGGCTGACTGACTGGCTAGCTGGCTGGCTGTCTCTTTCTCTCTGTCTCTGTATCTCTCTCTCTCTCCCATTCATCATCTCGTACAGTCAGCCTTATGGCTGGGCCGAGGCCACGAACACCACCTCATCGTGGATAATTAGTTGGTTAATGCAACCACTCATTTCCTCCTTAATTACCAGCTCATTACAGCTAATACTGAGCACTAGAAGGAGTGTTTTCCTCACTCCTCCAGCCACAGCATCTTCCATCTATTGTCTTTTCGCTTCCCATCATCTTTCCAACTAGATTACTCTCTGCGCCTGACAGCTGGGTGGACAGCGCTTCGGATTCATAGTCCTGAGGTCCCGGGTTCGATCCCCGGTGGAGGCGGAGATAAATTGGCAAAATGTTTCTCTCACCCTGATGCACCCTGTTCACCTAGTGGTAAATAGGTACCTGGGTGTTAGTCAGCTGTCACGGGCTGCTTCCTGGGGGGAGGCCTGGTTGAGGACCGGGCCGCGGGGATACTAAGCCCCGAAATCATCTTAAGATTACCTCAAAAAGAAGAGATGCCTTCCTTTCTTATCTTTGTCTTGCATATATATATATATATATATATAGATATATATATATATATAATATATATATATATATATATATATATATATATATATATATCCCTGAATGCTCTGTGTTCCCTTCTCTGAGGCTGTGGGTCCCTATAATTGGACCAGAGGTGCTACCCCCCCTGTATATATATATATATATATATATATATATATATATATATTTCCTCAAGCTTCCATCTCTCAAAGAGAAATAAATAACCTCATTAATCATTATATTTTTACAATTTACAATATTTTGTAATACGCAAAAAATTTGTATTTTTTAAACAATTACAGATTCAGGTGTTCCTGTTAGAAACCAACTTCTCCCTCTAAACTAAACAAGTTTCTGTTGAGAGCGTAGAGTTGATGATGACCGTCTGTACTCACCTAGTTGTGCTTGCGGGGGTTGAGCTCTGGCTCTTTGGTCCCGCCTCTCAACCGTCAATCAAGTGGTGTACAGATTGACGGGGGTACTGTTTAGCTTCATTGATGGGGGGCGCAGCGACTCAACCTGCTGTATAACTGAGCACACAGGGGGGCACAGAGCCCCCTCCCCTTCCCTGTACTCACCTAGTAGTGCTTGCGGGGGGTTGAGCTCTGGCTCTTTGGTCCCGCCTCTCAACCGTCAATCAACTGGTGGTGTACAGATTGACGGGGGTACACTTTAGCTTCATTGATGGGGGGCGCAGCGACTCAACCTGCTGTATAACTGAGCACACAGGGGGGGGGGGGGGCATAGAGCCCCCTCCTTCCCTAGGGGACAAGAAGACAGTGGGTATACTTACATGGCCCCGACGTAGAGCGTGTCTCTGGACTCGTCCATGTGGAAAGTGCGATAGTAGAGGCGTCCACAGGAGAACTCCCTCACGTGATCTGTGGGTACAAGGACACAACCATCAGTAATGGGGGGCATGAGGGGGTGGATAACTGGTGTATTTACCAACTGTGTCTGCAGGATCGAGCTCATAGCTCTTGGGCCACGCCTTTCCAACCGTCGATTCTCTTACGTATTGACTCAAAACCTATTTTTATTCTATCGTGTCTATCACATCTCTCTCTCTCTCTCCCCCCCCACACACACATCCCTAGGAAACAGTCCGTGGCAGCTGTCTAACTCCAAGGTACCTTTTTACTGTTGGGGTGAACAGGGGCATCAGGTGAAAGAACCTTTGCCCATTTGTTTCTGCCTCGGCCGGGAAATGAACCCGAGCCCTCAGGACTACTACCTCAGAGAGCTGTCCGCTCGGCTGGGAGGACCTATGCGTGCGTGCGTGCGTGCGCGCGTGTGTGTGTATGTGTGTGTGTGTGTGTGTGTGTGTGTGTGTGTGTGTGTGTGTGTGTGTGTGTTGTACTCACCTAGTTGTACTCACCTAGTTGTGTTTGCGGGGGT